GCGGAACATCTATAAAAATCAAATAAATACGATATTTGCATTTCTATCATCCAAATCTATTCAAATTCATCCATCCATAAGCATAATAACGGAAGATAATTTAATTAATGAGATTACATTAAGCTTTTGCTTCGTCTAATTTAATTTGTATCCAGTATTTTAACATTCAAAATCAAACTATTAAATTAAATTAAATGTACCAAATATACATTAATCCATGTTACTATATATATAATTTTGTTTAAAAAAATTATATGTTATTGTACTATTAATGGATTATTAAAAAAAAGAATATTAAAAATTGAAAAAAGAAAAAAAATATAAATTTAAACAATATTCAATCGATAGCTTCAATGGTTTAATGTTGAAAAATTCTAAACTAAAATTCCTTGAATCTACAAATTGAAAAACTTTAAATTAAAATTCTCTTTTGTAAAAATTTTTTTTAAATAATTTTTCAATATTATATTTAAATTTGATATTCAGTAATTCTTAGTAATTCTTGACACGTGTAACAAATATAATAACTTATCAATCTCAAAATAACAAACAAATTTTAATTATTATAAATGTAAAAATCATATCTATAAAAAATATTCATTTAATATTGCATTCATCTTTATCATTAAAAAAGTCACAAAAATCAAATTCACATTATTCTATTTTATAATATACTTCAGTTTATTTGTACTTTTATAAGTACAAATAAATTGCACTGAATGTCAAAACATATACTGCCTTGATTATAAATTATTTTCCAAAAAACAATTTTTCAAGATATTATATATATCATAATTATATATATTATAAATTATAAATAAAAAACAATTTTCAAAAAAAAAAAACAATTATCAGTCAAAATCTATTTATCCGTAGAATAAATGTATAACAAAAAAATATGGATTTGAGAGGCTCTGTCAAAATTTAAGAATTATTTAAGAATTCTAAGAGCTTGAATGAAATATGTATAATCAATTAATATATTTAATTAATATTTAATTAATATATAATATAATATGTTTAATTATATTAAGTAATATATTAATATATACCATATATTTTTTTGATCTCGATTCATTTCAAATTCAATACAACCCGGAAGTGTTTTTTCGAAACATTGTGTTATTCGCATCCCCAGTAAGGGAAAAAAAGCTGTCAAGAAGGATATAACGGAGTCAACAAGAAGGCATCGAGACGAATTCGCAACGCGTGTCATCACGATTCACAGCTCGTGTGTTTCAATGGCTAACCGAGTACACACCGTATACACCGAATAACGAATGAATCATAGGAACTCTCGCCACGCTGTACACACGAAACCGCGGTTCACTTTCTCCTCTCAGAGTCGTCCTCAATTACACGGAGCCGAGACCGAGGCCTCGTGTAATTATACGGGTGAGGTAGCACCGGGCAACCTAGTGAATCGCGCATATATTTTTTCTTTCCTCTTCTTTTTTTTTCAGACTGGGAGAGACCCCTTTCACTCGTCTCGCGTCACCGAGACCTAGTTTTCTTTTTCCCGAAAAGACTAAAACGAACATTTTCTTATTTGTTTGTGACAAGCGTTTCTCTGCTTTCTATTTCCCCACTATGAATTGAATATCTTCCGTGCGTGTTCCACTATACGTACTACAAATATTGAAACTTGAGCAACATTGCTTGATAAAGAGGATAAAAAAAATAAAACGAATATTAGCGAACCGAAATGAAAAAAATGAAATAAAATGAATTCGTGAAATAAAGATGGATTAATCATGTAAATTATTAACTTGTGAATAATCTTAAAATTTGTATAACTTTAATAATTTGTCATGATATAAATCATACTTTGTTATAAAAGAGAGTTCTTTCTAATGTTTCTACATCTTTCTGTATTAAATTTATAATATAATTTAAAAGTTTTATTTTTTTAATTAGTAAATTTTTAAAGAATTTATTTCATAATTAAAAATAAATATTAAAGTAATAATTAACGACATTAACGACATTGTATAAAACTTAATTAATGTGTTCAAAGAGAAATTGAAATTTATTCACAATAAAAATATATTTTTAAATTTTTAAAATTAATTAAATGATATTATGTAGATATATCTAAGTAAATCACAAAAGTTTTTAAGAATTTTGATAAGTATTTTATTAAAATTTAATGTTTTAAAAGAAATATTTATTATCATAAAATATTATAATAATTTATCATTTTTAAAATAATAAGGAATCAATTATAACGAAAATAATTAACTTTACTCGCACTAATTATTCTATGACTGTTTGTAATGTCTATTCGAAAGTTTCATCATAGGCTGAGAACTAAACTTTCAACTTGATTTTCCTGTTGAGAAACAAATATAGACATTGCGGTACACATGAGTTACAGAGAATTACGGAAGAAGGAAATTTACGTACACACAATTCTTCAATTTATCTCAAAGAGATTGAGTAAGTCAAAAATAAATAAAGTTTGCATAACTACGTTCATGTATGAATATTAAAAGTGAAAATATGAAATTATATTTATTATAATTTATAAAAATAAAATTATATATTTAAAGTTATATTTAAGAAAAATTGATATTTTGTAAAATTTAATCTTAAAACTTTATCGCAATATTCTAATAAAAATGTACTAAATATTTTTTATAATATAATAAATATTAATCATATATAATTTTTTATTGAGTAAAAAAATTTTTAAATTTGAATGTTTTCAACAATAACAAATTTAATTAAAAAAAAAACATTTGAATAATTTAGAAGAAAACTACTTTAAAAACTTGACTTTATTATTATCGTACAAAACAAAATATGGATTTAACCTATATATAACCTATTTAGTGAGCAACTTTACCATATTAAAAAGTAAACAATAACAAATCAATTTACTTTTACAACTTTTTTATAGAGTTTATTATAAGTTCCAAGTAGCTAGTTCTTCTAAATATTGAAAATTACTTTTGTAAACTTTTAATTTTTTTTAACTTGCTCATAGAATGTGATAACAACTTAAAATATATATTTTGTGAATAAATAGCTCGAATTAAAAAAAAAATTAATTGTAACATAGATTGCATAAAATATAATATGCATATAATATTGATATCGTGTAAAATACGGAAAATCATTATTAGTAAAATTTCATATATACATATAGATAAATATTTGACACAAAACAAATTTCAAATATGAAGAATTAAAAAATGCGAATCCATAAATATTATACAATTTATTATATTGACATATTTTTAATATGAGTCATTTCAGTTATTATAAAATTCAAGTCAAATATTTTTTAAGAAAATAATTTAAATAAATTTTAATTTTTAATAATAATCTTCTTAAAAATAAACAATATCTATATTTTTAATACGATTTTAGATACGAAAAACGACCCTTGACATAAAGAAAGATGAAGCGAAGAAAGTGGAGGACGATAATGACGAGGTAGTATTCTCTGGAAGAGGAAATGACAGGCATAGGTACTATAGTGCCGAATAGTAAAAGTCGGAGAACAATGGATAAATGGAATGGTGCAGCCGAGACCTTTCAGGCAATACGGGTAACTGGCAAAAATCGTGAAACACAATGGATAGAAGAACGCCTTCCCTTCTGGTCCGCTTTGCAATTCCCCCACGTTTCACCGAGCATTCCCTAACGTAACCACTCGTACAACTTAACGCGCCTGCGCCCCGGCACACCCACTTGACCCCGAAGTTGAAAGAAATTAAATTATGTAGGCTCTAATGTGTTCTCCAAGCCCCTAAATGATCTCCATAAGCCCGGTTAACTTCCAAATTCCATCGATATTGCGAAATTTACGATTTTTTAAATGGACCGTTTTTTATCAACAATATTTTAATTCTAATAAATTAAATAAAATGTTTTATCATCGCGTAATAATCTTTATGTTAATTTTGCAATCGATAACGATGATGTTTATCATAAATTATTTATTAATATGATCAATAATTATAATAAGCAATGATTACAAACATAAATAAATAAATAGTATGATTTAAAATTATTAAATTAGAATTACATTAGAAGATATTTAAAAATTTAATATAAAAATTATAAAAATTTCTATTTTGTATTTAATAAAATCAAATGTATTATTTAATAGGATTTTGTTATTATATGTAATAAGATAATTTATTATATATTATTTTAAAAATTAAATATAAAATTATATATAAAAAAATAAATGGATTAATTAATAATTTGTATAAAATTAAATTAATTTTTTTATTCAAATTTCGTACATACTAATTAAAATAATTTACATATATGTATATAATTTGTCCAACGAATCTAAGAGATAAATAAAATTGATCACCTGATGCATGCAACAGTACCAACTATTGGTTACTAATGAATTATTATTTTTAAATATAATTTTTTATCATTATAGAAAATATATTTATAAATTGAATGATACATTTGGTTGAATAGTATTGAATAGAATTGAAACAAATATATTTATTCTATCTAAATCAATGAATATAATTTCCCCACATAAGAGAATTTTTCAATTTTCATCATGTAGTTTTATTTATTTTTGTTTAATTTATTGGATGCATTTATTGAAAATTTTTTTCAATAATTATAATTTAAATAAATATATCATGTTTTATGATATTAAACCATATTTTTTAATTTGCATAAAATTTAAAAATAAATCACAATAATAATCTCAAATATATCTATTTAATTTTTATATTATATATTATATTTTCGTAATTATAATTCACGATTAATAAGTTACAAAGAAGTAAACATATACAGCCATCTAGCGGTACAATACTCAAATGTAAGAACGGTTAATATCGATCAACGATGACTATAAAATGTCATCGCTTACAATACTTATCATTGAATGTTAATAGTAAATAATATCATATTATATTAATGACAGAGAAAACTCTAAATATAATTCTAATATTATAAATTCTTTGTAAAATTAAAAATAATTAATTAAATAAACAAATATTTTAATCACATACCTTGTAAATTGTCCAGCATATATGATAGCAGCTTGTGAGTCCCTGATGGTTCTCCATACAACGCCAATATTTCCTTGCTGAGTGGATTACCTTGAAGTCCAAGCACTTGTAATTGAAACAATTTTCCTAATTCATATGGTAACACTCGGAGGTAATTTTGGTTTAATAACAATTCTCTGAAAGATAAACAAAATATAAATTAGTATACAGAAAGATATAAATTCATTATATTTATATATATTTATATAAATGCAAATATAAATTATACCTGAGATAGATGAGGTCCCCCAATTCAGCTGGTAAACTGCGTAATTTATTGCTACTGAGATCTAAAGCACGTAAATTGACTAAACGTCCAATCTCAGATGGTATCCTTTGTAAACTATTATCATTGAGATACAAAGCTGTTAGATGAGTTAGTTGCCATAAATTTGGGCTTAAATTTCTTATACTGCCTGTTATCTCCAACTCTGGCCAATAAGATTTTTTTCCAGAATTTGCATCCTCCGTAGACATAAAAGTATGTGTACGTCGTGGGTTGGAGTTTTCATACTTGTCTTTATGGTTGCGAGACATTTTAAATCCTAGACAGATATCAAAATAATATTTAAAAGAATCGAATATTATAATTTAGCTATGGAATATATAAATTATAATAAATATAATCATTTAAATAGATTTCTTTAATATTTAGATAAAACTTCTAATTTATTTGCTATGTACTAATATATAAATATAATTTATTAGATTATAAATAGATTAATTAATCTAAAATAAATAATCTAATCTAATTAATTAATCTAAAGAAAATACGCAATATATGAAATATAATTTATTATAAAAATTAAAATATAATAATATTAAAATAATATACAATAATATTTTTATATGTTAAATAAATAAAATTATAATTATATTAACTGCAAAATTTTTTTATTATAAAATATGCAAATTATTTTATTATAAAATATATATATATATATATATTTTTCAATATTTCATAAGTATTATGAATATTATGACCTTAAAAAAAATTATTTAATAATATAAAAATTAATTAAAAATAATACATAAAACTGCTTAATGTTTGATTATTGATATGATAAATTATTTAATAATTTCTTATTGCATACATTAAACTAAATATAAAATTATTTTCATGAAAGATAAAGTATTATACATACATGTTATTTGTTTTGTTCATATTCTCTAATATAACTAAATTATATTTTTTACAGGGAAGAAATACAAAGTATTTCACATTTATAACTAAATGTTTTATATTATTTAAGAATAATTTATTCAATTTGAAATACATCATTTAATAATACTACGAAAGTACATTCATAACCTATGAAGTAAAAATGTAGATTATTGAGTGCTTGATATTCAAAAGATAACCGTATTATTTCTTACGAACGTATTGAACAAAAAGTGTATGAGAAATACTATATAATTTTTAAATAATGCTGTAAAAAGTAATGTATTTTTTAATGTGAACAATCTTTTATCTCTAAACAGTTCATATGCACGACAAATTTTCGCATTAACATACATTTCTCTAACCGGATAGTTTCCCTACCTTTTAAATTTAATACGAAACCCGAAGGAAACTGTTACGCACCTTCATCTACCTCTTAGCACACACAAAACGCACGATGTGTTGATACCGAATGAAAATTTACGCGTAAACAAAACTACCTTGACAAACACAAATCCTCCATTTATCAACTGCACTGATCGCAAACTATAAGTGATCGTGATTGGTCGCGTTACCTCCGAATCTTCGCGAAGCAGCCGACACAACCAAATGACCATCTTACATTAAAATTGTACTAAACAGAGCACATCTAGGGATTTTAATGAATATCATATTCACAATATGTATACATAACTTTTTAAATTTTTTCTATTAATACAATTGTAAAAGTGAGTTAAAGTAATAATTTCATATTGAAATAAAGAATATAAAAACTTTTATTATTAAGCTACTTCGCTATATTATATATATGTGTGTATATATATATATTTAAGATTACTATAAGTGCTCTCTATAGGAACTATTAAGATACTATTTTACTTCAAATATTGTGAACTTTATCTTTATATTACTAGATAGCAGCTATTTTATACAAAGAAAAAGTATGTAAGTATAATGTTAATGTTACAGAAGATAGGCACGTGTGTTTTTGTTAAAAATGCATTAATGTTTTGTTAAGAACATTGATTTTTTCATTTCACTTATTACAAAATATACTTTTACTCAATATAAAACTTTCACGCGTATCAAGTGCATGAATAAAGATGGAATATAATGCCTTTCGAGGTAAGAATATTTTCCAATGTAACCTTTATTAATTTCACGCAATAAAATAAAACAGTCTTAATAAATTAATGTGAAATTTGCAGATTATTGTAAAGCTGAAAATAGTGAAGATGAAGAAATGAATCATGATCTACAGTCACGATTATATGCTGAAATTTATTATAGTTCAAATGATACAAAGAATGTGGATACAAAAACAAATATTAAATTAGAAGATATTAATAATGATGATAAAACATTTCATAAAGATACAAATAGCAGTCAAATTAATGATATTCGCATAAAAAATGATCCTGATAAAAAAACTTGTCCAATAAATGAATCAGCAAATAATTCAACATTAATAGAAAAAGATAATAAACCAGATATTGCATCTATTTGCATTACAAATGAAATTAATCAAACATGTGAGGATACAAATAACAAAAGTAATTCAGATATATCTCATGTGAAAATTTTGAAAGAAGAAAATATTGAACCTTTAAAAGATAATGGACAAGTAATAACATGTCATAAGATAGAACATGATGAAAATAATTCAGATTATCAAAACATTCATAATATTGAAAAAGATACAAATATAAGACCAAAATCAGAAAATGAAATTAAAGAAGAATTAAAACCTTTACAATGCTTAAATAACGAAGCAATTGCAAATCAAGATACTTTACATTCTACAAAAGATAATATTGAAAATAACAATGAGAAATGTCATGAAATTATGAATAATGAAACAAAAATTGATAACATTTTTAAAAAATATGAGTTTTCCAAATCATTTATTAATAATTTGTATTTAAAAAAATATGAAAATCTAAAAAAAAGACTGCAAGAAATAGAAGAAGAAAAACAAAAAAATTTAAGAGAAAATGAACGTGTTAAAGAAAACAAAGAAAATCAGCGGCAAATCATTATTGAACAAGAATTACGTGCAAAATCTATAAATGACGTAGAAGCGAATACAAAATATGAAATACTTAATAGATCTGACAAGTTACAAAAGAAAGCTAATTATTCAGAAGAAATAACATTGCTATCATCAGATACAGAAAGTGATTCTGAAGAATCTATTTTAGAAGTTCCTATTCCACCAAAACCTCAACCACCTGTCATAAATTTACAAGATTCAGATGAAAATTCTGAAACATCAAGTGATAATAGTGACATAGATGAAGAATCTTCATTTATTATAGAAAAAAAAAATGATTTGGTAGAAAATACCAAAAAGAAAACTGTTGTAATTGACCAGAATTCAGATAGTAGTAATTCAGTTATAGATTTTATTGATGATACACCAACAATAGAAAACATAGTACTTAACTGTACAGAAGTACAGAAAGGTGCTTCAAGTATAAAAGAAATAATGGAAATGAGTAAAATTGTTCAATCAGATCAACACTTTAACAAAGATACAAATTCTTGTGAGAAACATAATTCTTCTAATGAAAAAGAAATTTATATTAAAGATTTTAATAAATCTGATGATTTATTCATATCTAACAATGATAAAGACAATAAATCTAATTTTCAATCACCATCAAAAACAATTAACGATAAGAATGTTATGTATGAAAGAGATAAGAAAGAATTAAATAATTTTGCAAAAGATGTAGTAGTATCAAATTTCCTTAATTCCAAAGAATTGACTTCAAGTAGAAAAAGACACCATGAAAATGATAGTGAACCTTCCACAAGTGAAAGTAAACGTTCTAAATTAAGTTGTGAAGAAGATAATAGTAAAGATAAAACTAATGAAGACTCATGGGCAGAATATTTTTTTCGCCCTATGTCACAAGATCTTAAAGCTTTTTATGAATTCCAAGGACAAGAAAATTTTGATATAGGAGAAATTCAAAGTAAAATGTCAAGTGAGTTATTAAAAATTAATTTTATTTATAAATTTATTATTTTTGAATGTTTTATATTTTAAATAAATTATAGAGGACCCAAGACTTTGGGCTATTTTAGATGAAGACCTGATGCCGAATTTATTAAAAAATAAAAGATATTGGAATATGAAATGTACTAATTGTCATCAACCAGGTCACCAAAAACATAATTGTCCAGAACCATACAAACCTCTTCGATGTTATATGTGTGGTATTCAAGGACATATAGAAACTCGATGTCCTCAAAAAATGTGTCTTACGGTATAAATATATTATATTAAAAAATATATAAAAAATATATTATATTATAATAATAACATATAAATTCTTTGCAGTGTGGTAGAAAACAAAATACATTTAGAAAAACTTGTGAGTCTTGTGTTGTATTATATTGTAATACATGCAATGCTATAGGACATGAATCAACAGAATGTCCAGATCTTTGGAGAAGATTTCATCAAACAGTAAGTTTACATATAAATGTTATATATAAATGCTTTATACAATTATAATTTAAATGTCTTAATATTTTTGCTAATTTTATATATTGTAGACACGAACATCAGAGATAAATATACCACAAAATTTATCTGAAGTTATGAAACCTGCAGACTTATTGTATTGTTGTAATTGTACGAAGCGAGGTCATGATTCTTCTACATGTAACGAATATCGATGGTCACAACATTTTCCGACACCAGCATTTGTATCAGATTATACAGGAAAACCAGAAGAAAAATCCAGTCAATCAGAACAAACAACCAATCAAATTTCTGTTCGTGAAAATGAAGATATAATACCATTAACTAATAAAAAAAATAAATGTATGATATTTCTTGAAGGTAAAGATGATCTAGAAAATTCTTTTGTTGTATACTCATATGGAAAATTTTATACAAAAAAGCCTAACGGCGAGGAAATTAAACGAAAACTTTTGGGTGAACAAATTCAACCTTCTCATATAACAAATCTTTTAAAAGGTCGAGTTTCTCCACATTTCTTAGATGAGTTAATAAAAATAATTCAATTTGAAATTAAAATATATTATAATTCAAATAAAGAACTAATGTTAAGAGTTCGTACTATAGCAAATAATGCTGTAAATATAATAAAAATATTCATTTTTTGGCTTAAACTTAATGATGAAGATAAGAGTCTAAAGATGCATATAAATTTACCTCGTAATAGAAAGAAATTACTTAAGTTTTTGATACAAGAAATAGGTGAAATAAAAAGAAATTTAAAAGATCCTAATCATCTTTGTACTGAAATAGATCAATTAAAGAAATCAATGACTGAGATTCAAGATTCTGCAATATCGATTTCTACTTCAAAAAAAATCATAAGTCTTCGAAGTGAATTGCTAAAAGTGTTTCATACATTACCTAATTATAATCAATTATTTAAAAAATTAAAAAAAATGATTAGATATTTAGATAGATCACCAAATAATGATGTAAGTATAGGAATATATTTACATATTATTGCTATTTATAATCAAATATTTGTACCTCGTGCATTGACAGACATTGAATTAAAACGTCTTCTTAAAGTACATTATAAACATAAAGAAAAACAACTTAAAAATGAAAAAAAAAAGGTTCAAATTAAAAAGCAAAAAGACAAGAAACTTTCTTCTTATGAATCATTCATAGAAAGTTTACAAAAATTTAATTCTAAAAAAACATGTAATATCACAAAAAATAATGATGCATGTTCATCAAAAAATATTGAAATAAAAGATAAACAAATACCTACCATTCTTTCTGTAGAAAATGTTCTGATAAATAAGATGCAAACATATAATGCAGAAAATGTTAAAATACACAATGTAGGAAATAATATTACAGAATCTACTGATAAGCCTATACAATTACCACATAATCAGGATATTTCAAATAATAATGAAATAACAAATCCTATACAAAAATCAAATTTAAAAATTATTTCATCAAATTTAATTCCTATAACTCTTCAAAAATCTATATGTACTAATGTAACATCAAGGACATCTAAGAATGTACCTTGTGCCAAAATAAAACCCTCAGGAAGTACAGAAAAAAATTTAGAAATAATGAATAATAGTAATGAAAAAGTAAAAACAAATAATTTACAACAAGAAGATAATATAATTGATTCTGAAATAAATATCCTCAAAAAGAAAAAATCTAAGAAAGCAAAAAAAGCAAAATTAGATCTTGAAAATAATTCAGATGTTATAGAAGATCAAGTAGCAAATGTTGGTACATCTATAGAGAATAAAGCTAATGAAATTATAAATGAAGCTCTTGAATTTAATGTACCATATATGAATAAAGCTGTTGAAGAGATTAAGAAAAGAATAAATGATAAAAATCTTAAACAAGAACATATTGATACTTTAATAAGACTAGTAAATTTGGAAAAAGATCACAGGAAATATGTAAGTTCATTTTGTAATTATTTGCAATAAATTTTATTTTTAAAATAAGAAATAATAGTCTTTATTAAAAGATTTCATTATATACTGATATGCTAAATGGATGAAATAAAGATCTATTGGCATTTTGAATAAAATAAACTTATAATTTTTTTTTCAAATATTCTTTAATATTATTAATATTCATAATTAAATAAAAAATAAAATCCACTTTTAAATAATTTTATATAAAACTGCAATAAGCCTTACATTATATGCAATTATCATAATTGTATTCTCATTTAAATTAATATCTTTACAATTAAATACCTTTTATTAAAGATTATACTTATAATATTTTTAATTAAATAATATTATTCAATAATGCTTAATTTATATATTTAAATAATAAGTTTAAAATAGGTATTATAAATATAAATTTTAAGAATTTATTATTAATTGACAGTAACAATAATCTCAATTATAATACATTTATAATATTAGTTTTTATTTAGAATAATTTAATAATATCTTAAAATATTTATATGTATTAAAAAATTTAGTACATATAAATTATATCTTTGTCTATTTTTTTTTGTAAATAAAAAAATTTTGTTTAAACAAATATGTATTTTATATTCCTTATCCTATAATTATATTATAATAGGACACTTTAATATTATTTAATACATATAATGAATTATTATATTAATTATAAAAATAATACTAATATTATATTTATATTTAACTTTATTTTTAGTTTTTAAAATTAATATCTTCTGTATCTTAATATTCCAAAAATATATTACGTATTATGGAAGGGAATTCAAATTTTTAATGAATCATATTTACATACATGTTAATATCATGCTATTTAATATATATAATGAATTGATGAATTATTTATATCAATATAATTAAAATAATAGTTAAAATTATATATCTTCTTCATTATTTCTTCATTGGTGGAGGTCCTCCCATAGGTGGTGGTGGTCCATTCATTGGAGGCCTCATTGGACCCATAGGTCCCATAGGACCCATCATTGGTCCCATTGGTCCCATAGGTCCCATCATAGGTGGTCTCATACCCATCATAGGTGGCATTGGTCCATGTGGTCCCATCATCATTGGACCTCCAGGACCCATTGGACCACCAGGATGCATGCCTGGAGGTGGCATCATACCTGGTGGACCCTGAGGTGGTACCCCAGGTCGTGGGCCAAGATTCGGAGGTGGTGGAATTGCTGCTCCTTTGTTTGCTGCAAAAGGATTAGAGGCGATTTTTCCAGCTTTGAATGCTGCCGTTGTTGCATCAATTAAATGTTGTGCTTGTTCTTCCATCCATTTTTGATAAAAATATTTAACATTGTCCTTATGTTTACGACCTTGACAGTGAGTTTTTCGTACACTCGGCGAATCATGTGTTAAATATGTATCACAATAATCACAATAATATTTTGGCATTGTTCATTTGAATTAATGAATTAACTAAATAACGTAAAAACTATGTTTTTTTACAATATGTTACACAATTTTTTATTATTGTATCAATTTTTCAATCTTAATGATTAATTATAGGTTATATACATGCGTCTTTTATAATCAAACCTTAATTATAATTATAACTTAGACGAACAAATTATATATGAAAATCTTTTCTTTTAGCTCCATCTATCGACTCGTAGAATAAATATATTACTATGACAATTTTTTTATATTTTACTAATGTTTTATATTAATATTAAATAATAAAAAAAATTGTTACAATATAACTATTCATATATAATCAAATATAAAAAAAAATATATTTCATATCCATATACTATTACATTTATTGAAGTGAATCACTGAACAAGTAAGTAATATCACGTGATCAAAATCTAGGGGAATCAAGAATGGTTTTATAATCTTCAAATATGAAATAGAAAGTATACTTATCTATATATTAGTTTATTTATGGATTTATTGCATAGTATAAAAATAAACAACATAATATAAAATATAAGTTTTTTGAATTAAAAATTGATAAATTTATTTACTAAAAATTTTACTTTTTATATATATATATAATTAAATGCATTTTTTCACAAAAATTTCTATTTCTTATTAATTTAAAATTCACTAAGATTTCTAATAACATTATATAAATAATTTACAAAATTAAATAATTTGTTTTACTTCCTTTCTTTTATGGCATTTTATACAAAATTTTGGATTAAATAAGAAATATTGATATATGTAATTAATATTTATAACCTATTGTATTTATATTTATTCTGTTAACCTATATTGTTTACACTTATAATACTTTCACTTGTGAAATATATTTCATACTTATATTTCATTTGTATGTATACATAACAAAAAATTATAAGATAAATATATAAATAAAAAACATAGATGTTACGGAAAATTCAAACTTGGAAATTTGTATTTAATTAGTATGTAGTTCGTATAATTATATAAAATCAGATATTTATTATTTGAATCCACTTATAACAAAAAATTATTAGATTAAACTTATTTGTTTTCAATTTAATCTAATGTTGATAATATAATAATCCGATATATATAATTTTTTATAGATAAGGATTTTTTATAGATAAAAAAGATATTATGAAAATTTTATTTTTTTAAAAGAATGATTTTTTTTATTCATATTTTGATAGAACATTTCAAGATAGACAAGAATAAAATAATATATATTATTCAGAATCAATTATGATGGAAAAATCCAATTAAATATTTTTATCTTATTTATCACTTTCGTAATGTAGATTTATATCTTGTTAAATAATTGTTTACGTTGATTTTTTTTATTTTTATTTTTTTTATAAAAATATGGACATGCATATACAAGTATTAATGTATTTTTAGAAATCAAAATGAAAGAATCAGAATCATTGATATATAAATTTTAAGTTTGTAAAACGAGTTTGTGAAACGAAATGAAGTAAATTAGTTCTATTTCTATCACTGTTTTCTTCATCTAATGCAAACTTAAATTGCTTGTAAGCTAATTAAGGTTCATTCGATATTTTTGTAAATTAATTTTTGTGTTTATTTTGGCTTTTAACATTCTGTAAAAATTATTATAAATAATAATTTATCACTGCAGAAATAAACAAGATCAAATATTATTAAACAAATATAAATATATATAAAATTTGTTTTATATTTAGATTTTTAGATATTTAGATCAATTTCTGAAAAGTTTAATTGAATTCTAATTATTATATTAATTATATAATCATTATAAACAAAGATTTTTAATATCGAAAATTTAATAAACATATTGTATTAATATTAATGAAATTTGAACGAATCTTTATATAATATTTATATGTATTTAAAAAAATAATTTTATATAAAGAATACGAATTTATTAAAAATGTTATAACATTCTAGTGTTATATTATGTTATATTTATTTTCGTTTAAAAAAATATTATATTTTATTCATTATTATATATATATAATATAAAAATAAAAAGTATGCTTATCTATATATTATATTAAAATTATCTATATATATTAAAATTATATTATATTATATTATATTAAAATTATATATTATATATTATAAAATTATATATTATAATATATATATATATTAAAATTATTACGTATATAACGACATTGAAAAATAATAATTGTATCGAAATTATAAAATTAAATTCTTTATGAACATGTTTCGATAGCATATTGGCTTTTCTTGAATTCTTAAAATCTGCAAGAGTTTTGGGAAAACTGAACTTACTAGTAATTTATCGGTAGCCTTTGCTTGGCACGTGCAAACTCGTACTGCAGTTCTCGAAGATTGCCGAATCACTGCAGAAATGCCATTTCTTATCTCTCTTTCCTAACAGAATAAATTGTATATATATATAAAACGCGCATTTCACTTTAGCAGCAATGCTTTAATGTTGATTTATTTTTTTTTTTAATGTTTTATACCTGAAGAATAATTAAAATTAAAAATTATTTATATCGTTATTATTTATATCATTATATTTATTATTATTAAACACGTGAAAATTATTCAATTAAGATATTATATTTTTTAATTAAGTTAGGTTAAGTTATATTAGGTTAGGATATTTATATTAAAATTACATTACAATTGTTTATTACAATTAAGATATATTAAGATATATTATATTAGATATATTATAATAATAAAATGTATTATTTTCTTAAATATTTTTAAAATTTTAGTATTAATTTTAATAAAATCACATAATTTGTAATTATTCCTAACATATTTTATATTCAGTTTAGTAAACCTTCAAATATCTTTTTATTATATTGCAATTATTTTAATCTTTTAATCTTCAAATTTTGTATATGTATATATCTGTTCATTCACATAACAAATGTAACTTTGAGAGTAAAGTTTGTTAGAAAATAGTGCATATCACACTCAGATAGATTTTGGTTCGTATATTCGGTTGAAGTATCTAGTGGTTACTTCTGTGAACATAGGACTAACTATTAATTTCAAATGCATGTTATGTATTTCACTGACAGAAGTTTAACTTTTGGTTAGATTAAGTTATATCTATATGGCAAATTGATCTGAACAATTTAACTATTATTCGAATTATAAGATAGACAAAAATTTGTGATTTTATTTCACAGTTAAGAATGAATTTTAATGAAGTTAAAATTTTTGAGTATTATGTATGAATAATTTTAGGTATTTTTTGATAAGCAATTTTATATTGATTGTTTATTTAATTAAATCTAATAAGTCTAATAAATAGATGCAATCAATTAAATTATATAAATATTTTAATAAAGATTTAAGAAAATTAAATTAACTTAAATTTATAAGATAATTTTTTCTTTAAATTTCTCTGTTTATAAATCTTATTAATTATTATGATGGAACCAATTAAAATAAATAATAAAATAATAAATAATTTTACGACATTTAATATTTAAATAAAATCATTTTGAATTGATAGCATAATTTAATTCATTTTTGAGTTGAATTGCAAAATGTAGAATAACAATGTTATCGATAACAATGATTCAAGGATTATTGGTAATTTGCCAAGTTTTCTTCAATATCCGCTCACATTAAAAGCAATATCTTTATCAATCCATAATCATTTGAATTTTCGAATAATGAAAAATGCATATAATAATAGTTTGTGTGTTTTAAATTTTTCGAAATTATTTAATATATGAACTATTTCTATTTTAAAATAAATAAAAATATAAAAATTTCTTTATTATGTTATTACTTAGTCACATTTTTATAGAATATAATATAATATATATATATATATATATATATATATAGAATATATATATATAGAATATATATATATAGAATATAATAGAATTATCAACATTTTTATAGTATTTTTATTACATTACAACAATATATGTATTTTTGTATTATGTATGTATGTATTATATATATATGTATTATATATATAATATTATTATGTATAATATTATATATATATAATGTATTATGTATTATATATATTATTATGTATGTATGTATTATATATATATATATAAAACAATCTTAATATTTTTATTGTATGTAACAAAAATTACATATATATAATAATGGGATATCTTAAATTTTGTATATATAGTATTTAATAGAAATATAGAAACATAAGGATAAAAAATAAGAAAAATAAGAAGATCTAAAAGAAAATTATTCTATTTTTACCAATTATGAAACGACGCTTGAAATGAAATAAACTCTAATTGTTCCAACCCAATTAAAAGCTGCAGATTGATTTACGAATTTGAACTCATCGATTTTCAGGTCAAACCAGGCCTATTCTGCAGTTTCGAAGTACAATAGACGCCGGATGAATTAAAAGAACTTTAATACTTGACAAATAATTCGGTCGAACTTCCCAAGTCTTTCCATCCTTCATTTTATGCTTACCCTCTTTTTTTCTATTTCTCAATTCGCGGAGAAGGAGATTGGCATTCGAGGTTCAATGATAAATGAGCTGCGCTGAATTGGAACGACCCTTCCTTGCTATTTTCTCTTCTAGAGTTTTCTCTCACTTCATGAACTACTCTTACTTTGTTGCTCATTTCTTTCTATTCATCTTAATTTGTTGGCTTGGCGGCATATTATTATTTTGAAGCTGAAAATTTTTAGTTTTAAAATGTCTTTGTTTAAAGTTTTTTTTTTTTTAAAAATGTAATGTAATCTATGCTTTCTTATAAGAATTTATATTTAAGCAAATGATTATTCCGAATTTTTTTTTTTATTTCTTTTAAAAACATCTAAAGCTTATTTATTTATATAAAACAATTTTTTATAGATAATGCGATTCAAGTTTTAAAAAATTATTTCAAGTTTTATAAAATATACGAAGTTAAAGTTATTTATATAACTTTGTTATTAATACAAGAAAATAAAAGGTAATTGGCGAGTACCTAGATTAGTTTTTTAGATTCCAAGATAAAAAATTAGATCAAAGAATATAAAACTATAATTATGTCTTTACATTATAACTTTTGCGGAATTTGTTTAAGATATTCAGTTGTTTCTGTATTGTTTCAATTTGTTACTCGGTAGATATTTTAATATTTTATAATTTA